GGGGCAAGGCTTGTGAACCAGCTCATGGCGGCTAGCGTGAGCATGACGGGGAGATAATTTGCCATGATGTTGGTGTCTCCTCCGGCGGCGGGGATGGCAGTGGCGTAAGCCTACAGCCACTGAGTTGGATTCATCCTTCCTTCATAGGGCTCGACCCCAGTGATTTTAAAACCACATGGCCACTGGAGTGTTCGGAGCGCCCTGGTGAATGCTGGAGGGCCTTCGGGATTGCTGGCTCCATCATTTGTAACGTTGCCGGTGGCGATCAGCTCCAGAGCTGAGTCTGGGTTACCGTACTCTTGCTCGTACTCCTGGTGGCGGCGTACTTCATCTTCATGGCGACCGAAGCGACGCTGCTCGATACGCCATCGTGCATCCCAAAGATTACTGAGGTGCACTCGAGCGTCCTATTTGACCTCCTAGTCGTGCTGGCGATGGTGCTCGGCGCGGTGGCCCCCAACCCCACCATGGAGGGGCAGTGACTGGTCAGCGAAACGGCTTTGGCTGGGGCGGCGATTGGATCTTGGCACGGCTGATCATGAATCGTGCTTATTGAGCACAAAGGTCTTTGATCCTGGCGGATCTCGTTGACCTGGCAGTGCGCCGCTTTGAGCATGGCGGCGACCTTGGCAACCTCAAGAGTTTGCGGGAGCCAGGAGAGCTTGTTGGCGGCCACGGCCAAGTTAGCGCTTGGAGTTTTGTAGACGTCATGACCGTCGACACAGAGAAAATCTTTGTCAAGGTTGCGATGGAGCGGCCTCCCTTGCGAGTCGAATTGGTTGTCACGAGCGGCCTCAGCCATCGCAAGGGCGCGCTCATTTTCATGGCGCTACGCGCGGTTGACGTTCCTATTTTCACAAGCGGCGCGTTCTTCATCGGTTTCACCGTTCCGAGGGGGGCTGTCGATGCTGACGTTGAAGGTTGCACCACACCGAAAAGGCGGGAGAGGGGGTTGCTCGGTGAAGGTTTCGGCGAGGGTCTCCATGGAGCCCTGAGATTCGGAGTCCGGACTTTCCTCCAAGATGGTTTGGAGGGATGCTCCGGGGCATCGGCTGGCGTGCAGCATGTTGACCGTCGGTGGGAGCTGGTCGGCGATTTGGTCGGCGAGAGGATGGATATCCCCCACCTGGTTGGCGAATTTGCCCCTCAGGGCATCTTGGTATGTAGCGGTGGTGTTGGCGAGCCCGAAGGGTAGGGCCATAACCCCTGGAGTTTGCCGAGCAGCTTCCGATAGATCCGGATCGAAGGGTGGCCAACGCTGGGCGAGGGTGTCTAGAGCTGACTCGGTGATAGAAAGGCAACTGACGAGTTTTAGACCGACCCGATTGATGGACTCGATCAGATCGTCATTGTTGATGTGCCTCCTCTGGTAACGATGAAGCGAGCGGCGAGTCGTTGATGAAGACGACCTCGGAAGTAGTTCCAAGATCGGATCCGCAGTCATAGGTGCGGGGGTAGTCGGCACAGAATGGATCTGCACCGGTTCGAGGAGCTCTCCGACTCCATCAGCGTTGATGACCCACGAGATGGATCCGACCGTGAAGATCTGGCCGGGCTACGGAAGGGATGAAGAGCCTGCAGAAAAAGCCATCTTATTCGACAAGGAAATAGCACGCACACCCCTACCTGGCGCGCCAACTGTCAACAGAATATCGTCGGCAGTCCTTCGAGGGGTATCCCACAAAGGTAGATTGATCAGTAGAGGAGCGTGAGATCAAGAACAAGAAGGCAATAGAGACACCCGAGTTAGACAGGTTCAGGCCGTCAGTATGACGTAATACCCTACTCCTATGGTCTGTTGGTCTGTATTAGCTATCGTATGATATGCCGTGATTTCAGAGGGGGTCCCTGCCCGCCTTATATAGTCCAGAGGGCAGGGTTACAAGTCGGTTAGATCTGAGAGATAACCGGAAAGTAATAACAGATTACAAGAATCATGGGGTCGTACGTATCCTAACAGATCTCATAGTATCTTCAGGATATCTTCCTTATATTTTGCGGGAGGCGCCGAGCAGAATCGTGCCCCGCAAGGCTTCGTCTTGTGGGCTGGGCCGCCCCTGGGGGCGCAGCCCATGTGGTCTACCGTGGGTATCCCTATGATATTAGCAGATTCTGATGAGGACATGACACCCATGCATACGACCATGTTTGGCGCATGGTATGGCGGGGTAGGAGGCCAGCAAGGGTGTCTAAGTCAAGAAGAAGGCTCGAGGCTAATTCAGTTCGAGTCCCCGAGGTGGAGGCCCAAAACAACTCAAGTTCGAGCCCGTCTCGGGTTCTAGGACTAGTTTGCCTTAAACTGGTCACCCAGGACGCATTCGGACTCCATTTTCGATGATCCACATATGGATGGAAAGCTAATTTAATAAGGATGCCAATTTAAGTGGTCTCACATCAAAAGCTCTTTGAAATCAACGGGAATCGTCGAAACAAGTTAGTGTCTAGAATCTGTCAGAGTGCTGCGACACCGTCTTTTGGTCCGTTGGACCGTGTATCGTGTTTGGGCCCATTAGAGGGCGCATCCAGGGGGTGACGTCCAAGACTCTATAATTAGCAGCCATCGCTCTCCTTAGGGTTTGGGGTTTTGTTTAGTTCTTGATTTCCTTATGAAACATACATCGTTTTGCTGTAACTGTGCCGCCAAGGTCACTTGCTATGAATCAGGGCCCATGTTCTTGATCTTGTTCTCCTGTGACGATTAGTCCTTTCGAATAAAGACTTGAACTCCTTCTTGTTATCATAAGCTCATATTTATTTGCAATTTCAGACTGTGTTCTTTCTGTTATTGTTTGTGTTCTCGATTCGTTTGCAGGAAAGCCTTCTCGACGAGGTCAATCGCGTTTGCATGGTTGATAACCAACGGAGCAGTGGTGTAACGGTTGCGGAGGTCCGAATCAGTATGGGTTCGAAGCCTAGATTGTGAACGTTGAGTCTCCACCAATCAACGCTATCATACCTATCGGAAGATCGGGCCTTGTCTACATCAAGTGGTATCAGAGACCTTGTTATCCGTTAGATATAACTTTGTTTTTCTCTTTAGATTGTTACTGTTTTTGCATTACCTATAGTCCACAAAAAGCTAAAAAAATATACCACCACATATTCCCTGCCCTATAGCCTCGTTGTGCCATGCAATTTCGTCTCTGTTTCGCGTTGTTGAGTTTGTGTCCTAGGGCAAGTTCTGGTTGCTGGTTTTAGATCCTTTTTTGAGTTCAGTTTGTGTCTTTTCCTTTGTTTTTCATCATAATCCGTGAACACCTTCAAGTCTTGTTATGTTTCCTTTGTATCCATCAAACCATAGTCCACGCCATCTAATTTGTTACACTTATCTTCACTGTTTGCATCTATCCATAGCCTCCGCAACAACTTTTGCACGTATTGTTCCTATTTTGTCCTCATCAGATTCCCCCCTTCAATTTAACCTGTTGATGAACTTGCTTGGAATCCAGCGCAGACTTGTCAAGATTCAGGCTCTTGCAATTTGTCAATTTGTGCAAATTCCTATGGGACTTCAAAGCCTTCGAGCATTTCATGCCTCGTTTGGAGCCTGATAGAATCAGATCAGACGGGATCAGGAGTGCCAACTGATGGGACAATTTCTAGGTTCAGATCAAGGACATGGTGCTCAAGGCGTCGGGCGCATACCAACACTGCACTCCCATCCTGTGCGGTAGTGCTCCTCGGACACCTACACGGCGTCCCTACCCTTCTCGCTCGCGACTACGGCTTGTCTCGACAGGGCACGACGAGCGCTGCGGCTCCGCCGGTGAGGCGTTGCGCATCTCATGCGTCCACGACCTATGCACCGGTGGGTGGCCACGGACTCGCCGGTCGGTGGTCGCAGACACGCTGGAGGCAACCCGAGGCGGGCTACCATGGCGGCGGCGGGCCACCCTTGACGATCGACGACACGCTGGCTACGGGTGGCGTGGATGGACGTAGTACCACACAAGACTTCTGGTGAGCCCCCTTGGTGTCATCGCCGAGAGGTAGGGCGCAGCTGACTGGGCAGGGTCAAGTGGTGGGAGCCACCGCCGAGAGCGACCAATGGTGAGGGAGCCAAGCGAGAGGAGGGGGTGGAGCTCGCTCAAGGCGGCTAAGCAAAGTGGTGCGGCCAGCAAACAATCGGCTGGCGAGGTGTGTGGCGCATGCCTCGGAGAGAGTGGGGGAGTCTGGAAGATGAAGAAGGCTGACGTGCAGGGCCCACGTGTGAGAAGGGGCAAAACGGACATTATAAGCTCCTCTTAGCTGCCGTTGGCCCAAAAGATAACGGTAGTGGCATGTAAGGGTCCAAAAATTTGGAGCAGTGGCTCACGTGACATCGTAACTTTTACAGTGGCTCATAGGAAATTGAGAACTTTTATAATGGCTCACAGGGAATTTTCTTGTAATTCTTTAGCTCGTATAAAGCCCCTTTGGCACGACTCATCCAAAACGGCTTCACCGGTGAAGCTAGAAAAACTGGTTTTTTCGGCTTCTAGTTCATTTTAACCCCGACTTACAAAACGGAGCTTCACGCTACAGTGCCTCGATTTACGCGTAAAATAGATGAAGCCGAAGCTAGATAAGCCGTGCCAAAGAGGCCCTTAAGTTTTGCATATGTAGCCTCTAAATTTAGCCCATCTTTTAAAAAGAAATTTAGCCCATCTACACAGAAGTCGCATATGTGGCGGATATCCAGGCCTTGTGACCTGTAAGTTGTGACTGACTGAAGAAGCCCGGCCCAGCAGCAACGCTGGCTCGCACTATGCATTGGTTGCGTTGCGTCCATGGCCTCTCTTCTGCATCCATTCTTCGATTTCGATCTCACCGAGGCCGACGGAGCAGACGACTAGGGAGTCCACTATTCCCGAGAAGAAAGCGGAGCGGAGAATCCAGGAGAGGGGAGGAGCTCAGCAGCGGCTGCTGTAGCTGCGTTTGGTGGATCGAATCGATCGTCACCTGATGTTGTGTTTTTGCTACTGAGGAGAGAGAGAGGGAGGGATCTGAGGGAGGGGATGATGTCGTCGTCCTCGTCCTCCTCGGTGGTGTACGAGGGGTGGATGGTCCGTTACGGTCGGCGCAAGATCGGCCGGTCCTTCGTCCACACCCGCTACTTCGTGCTGGAGCCACGGATGCTATCCTACTACAAGCGCAAGCCGCAGCACAAGGCCGACAAGGTCGGGGGAAAGCTCCCCATCAAGTCCCTCCCCATCGATGGCAACTGCAGGGTCGAGGACAGGGGGCTCAAGATGCACCATGGACATGTACAGCTGTTTTCCTCCTTTTCTTCTTCGTTTTGGTGGTGTTCTTCCTTTTTGTTATCATAATCCTGCGATGATGATTCCATTTGGGCATTACTTCTGCTGCAGATGCTTTATGTCTTATGCGTCTACAACAAAAGGGAGAAGCACAACCGCATCACGGTAAATCCATGATTTATTCGTTCGGAGCAACTTCACTTTGTTTAGTGCATTCAACAGTAGATTACCGAATTTCAAACTGCTTTCTATCGTTGCCAACTTTTTCCCCCCCATTTCATCTCTTTTGTGCCTAATATTATAATAGAAGTCTTTGGATTTGCATCCTACATGCTGCCTTCAGTTAAATACCACTCATTTAGCTCACAATCCCTTTCTGTGGCATGCATCAGATGGCGGCATTCAACATACAGGAAGCTCTAATTTGGAAGGAGAAAATTGAGATGGTCATCGATCAGGTTCAACACGTGGAAACCCTAAACTGTGCTAATCTGTTACTCATATTGCAAAGTACTAGTAGAACATTAAAGTGATTATGAATAGTGATGCAAATGGATGCCACCTAAGGGTCTTGACCGACCCTCTTTAGTCACTACTTCTCCAAAATTTGGTCACATTTTGGAAAACTAGTACTCATAATTGAACTAAAGAGGGTCGTTGGAGACCCTTAGGGGCAGCAATTTACACCCCTAATTATGAATCTACATAATAGCAAAATTTTCTGTGGTTTACACTTGTTTCTTTTTGAATGGTGCAGCGACAGGGAGCAGCGCCAAATGATGGCAACAAGGCCTTTAGCACATCGCAGCAAAAGGCTAGCTTAGAAAATGGAAGGAAATCTTCTTCATCTGACCGCGAAAGTCAGTAAGTAGCTGACTTCCATGGTTCTTTTGCCAGTTATGCTTCTATTTTCGCTTTTATGGTTCTACCAGTTTCTGCTATTGCCCTTTCAAGTTGCATTTGTTTCTATGTTGCGGCTAAAGCATTTTTTGATACCCTTCTCTGCTAATGCTTTACTTGTACCAGTTTGGTAATGTTTGGCTACATCTCCCATCTTTCTTATTTGGGCTCTCAACAGCTAGTATTTCTGAAAACGTCACATTGACTGGATGATTATTTTTGTTCAGATGGTATTCTTCTGAGATGCTACTTTGTGATCTAAACATTTAAACCTTTTATGATCTTAAATAAATAAACACTGGGTAGGTGTGTGCCTCAACTCATCTAGCACTTTGGTTTTGCAGTAGTTTACAATGAAAGAAGGAAGAATGTCTTGTTGAATGCATTTTAACTCAAGTTTGTGTATACTCGACAAATCTCAAACTCTACTAGCGCCTGGGTGTAATTTTATTTCTGTCTGTTGCATGATATGCAGAATTATGAACTTCTACCAAAATTATATGTGCCCATATTCTCTCATGGCAGGTACAGTCATGAAGAGGAAGAAGAAGAGGAGGAAAATCAGCGATCATTGCTGAGGAGAACAACAATTGGGAATGGTCTGTAACATGTCACCTAACTTGGCTTGCCTGTTCCCTTCCACACGCACGCACGAGCTAGCTAGCTAAACAAATAATTATTTTCTTTCAGCGCTTAACAAATAATTGTTCTACTGTTTCCTTTTGCAGGCCCTCCAGAATCTTTATATGACTGGACCCGTGAAAATGATTTGGGAATATCAAATCAAGGAAGCCCTGACCAAGTTTTCTCTAGAGGATACTGGCGCCTTGTCAGATGCCAGAATGGCAAGAACTTCTGTTTTGCTCGTAACTCTGTTTCTCTGCTGTGTAACTGGGTTGCTCTTCTGATGTGGTGTTGATTTCTTCAGGCCTCCGCATTTTTGAGGAGCTCCAAGATGTTGATTACCTTGTAAGTTGTTGATGGATATAGCTATGTACAGGTAGTTTAAATCTAAGCCATATTCTCATGTTGCTTGATGCTTGTGTGCTATTCATAGGCAAGAAGCTGTGGCAGAGCAATGAAGGCTGTTGGTGTGGTTGAAGCCTCCTGTGAGGCTATATTTCAGCTTGTTATGAGCATGGATACTACACGTTTTGAGTAATTCTTTCTTTCTACGTTTGATAAATTTGCTCCACAATTGTGCATTATTCTTTTCCTTAAACTTATCCATATTATTTTCTTTTTCGTTCTGTAAGGTGGGACTGCAGCTTTCAGTATGGTAGTCTGGTAGAGGAGGTCGATGGCCACACTGCAATACTATACCATAGGCTACAACTGGATTGGTTCCCAATGTATGTTTTATCTTTTGCTGGAAATATTCCTCTCATGACCTTCTGTATCTGTACTCCACAAGAAGTGCGGAGTCATTGCAAAATCATGACACATTGTTTTCTTGGTCAAAAACTGACATGATGCCACATGTTACATTAATGATATATGCATGTTGGCTTTTTAATTGGTTGGTGCTAAGTTGTACTATATTTCCTAGGAACATGGATTAAATATTGACTCTTGTATTTCATGATTAATGTTTATCACAATCTTCATGAATTCAAGGTTATTTAATTAATTTCATGGAGCCTGTCACGGATTTGATGAATACTTTGCCAGGTTTGTTTGGCCTCGTGATCTTTGTTATGTGCGCTATTGGCGGCGCAATGATGATGGAAGCTATGGTTGGTACTCTGGTACTTTGTGGTTGTTTGGATCTCAAGATTAGAAATTTGTTTTCATGAAACAGATATTATGAGGAGTTTTTAGAAAAATGAATTTTAAGTAGGCATTCTGTTATATTTGTTTATTCATTAGTGTGTTTGGATCGGTAGTAGTGGAACTTGTTTCATTGTAGCCTCTGAAAAATGGCACGAAATCAATCATCTTGCAAACTAATTGAAATTGTCAAAGGAGAACTAGGTAGGTGAATCAATGGAAGTGCGAGATTCCCGGCCAGTGAAACAATTGCAGCATACACTGGTTTTGATAAAAAACGCCTTGGAGTCAGATTTGCTAAAATATGGAATTTTGAATTTACTGGAAACCAGTTTTTCTTATCTCCAAGTTAGTTGAGTGAAATAAACAATGTTTTGCAGATGACAAACTACAACAAGTTTTAAGGAATTTAGTTTTTGTAAAACTTGAGATGCAAACAACCCCTTAGGCTTACTCATAGCCATGTTCCATGTGATATACATACATATATGAACATGTAGGGCCTGTTTGGACGAGTCTGTTTTTTTCTTCTCTCAAACACTCAGGAGAGCTGTGTTTGCATATCATTATATTAAGAAGAAAAAGGAAAAGAACCTTTACAACCCCCCCCCCCATAGCACCAAGAAACTAGGTAGACATATGCACCTATTACAGTAGATAAATCCGACCCCGACCACCACTATACCTCAGTTGTCTACTGGCTGTAGAGCAGAGAGGTAAGAAATACCTTTTTCTCCAGCCTTTCCCCAATTGGATGAGTAGTTTTAGAAAACTGTGGTATCATGAAACTGTGATTTTATAAGCCAAAGACATACAAACCGTGGTTTAAAAAAAAAACATTTTGCAAAACTGTAGTATTTATCCAGTGCTCCAAAAAATATTTTACATCCAGACAGGGCTGTAATCATTTATTTTTATGACTTGTATTTGATTATATTCAGTAATTTTATTTGCAGTTGTGTTGTTTCAATCCAGAGAGCACCAAAACTGTGGTCCACAACCAGGATTTGTAAGGGCACATATTGAGAGTAAGTAAATTGCTCTGATGAATTCGTTACAGCACAATCATTTGCAACTTATGTTCATTTATAGCACGTTACAAACCAGGACTGTTCGAGAAAAAAGTATGGCAGCCAGGGCTTCCTTTTCGTAACTTTTCTTCTCTTTGACTTGCATTTATTTATTGTAGGTGGTGGCTTCAACATTTCTCCCCTGAAATCCCGTAACGGAAGAATCCGAACACAAGTGCAGCATCTTATGCAGATAGATTTGAAGGGTTGGGGGGTTGGTTATGTACCTTCATTTCAGCAGCATTGCCTCCTTCATATGCTGAACAGTGTTGCTGGTACAAATAACCTTCTGAATAAGTTTTGCATGGTATCTTTATTAATTTTCTGTGTTGTACATAGTACTCAGAGAAAACATTTGGTTTATCTTATTCTCGGTTAGGATTTGGAGTAACTTCTCAACTGACACAGGACCTTTTTGTGTGAGGCTGCTGGCTTGATCAGTGTCCATACACTTTTACGTTTGGTCATTTTAGGTGGCTCAGAGCTGATCCATTGCATGTTAGATGAGTTAACAGGTTCCTTTCCCGGGTGTTTAAAATGGTTGCCATTGTGATAAATACTGACACCTTACAAAAATAACCAAGTAGTGTACTATTATATGCTTTCTGTTGAAGATGATGTTTGGAGAAATGTTTTCTTGTTTTTCCTTGCCCAGTCCTTCATGCAGCATGGAGACTCACTCTCAGCAGCACATTACAACTTACAAGCCTATTGCCAGTTAACCACCTTAGCAGTGGTTGACCTTCAGCATAAATCAAGGGGGTCCCCAGAGCAGTTAGGAATAATCCTTATGCATGACACGTTTAGGAGACAGTTGCCGTTTTCTTGTGCATGACTGTTCAAGCATATTACATATACTCCCTCTGTCCCAAATTATAGGTCATTTCGATGTACTTGGCATGCATCCCAATAGTACTCCATTTCATTTTGCTTAGACACAGGCTGCAGCATGTCCCCCTCCCCCCTCAATTTAGGAAACTGAATATGATATATGTTCTCTATTACTCACTGTGCCTTTTCTCCCCTGACAGGGCTCAGGGAATGGTTTTCACAAAGTGATGAGAGTCAAGTGCTTCCTAGGTTTCCTGTTATGGTCAACATGACTCAATCTGTTTCTTCCAAGAAAGGCAGAAAAGCACAAGAGAGTACTACACAAACCAGCATTCAGATGGATCCAAGCAGACACTCCACAGTTCTTGAGGAGGAGTCTGATGAAGATGACGAATTTCTGATACCTGAATCTGAACCAGAGGTTGATGAATTGTTTTTAGTTTTTCCAGTGGATCTTTTCTGTCATTTTTCAAACAAGACTACGTTTTCTATGCAGCCATCAACACGTGAGGATGCTGCAGATGTTAGGCAGTCAGGTATATATATATATATTCTATTTTCCTTGATTATATCTGTACAAAGAGTCTAGTTCACTTTATGAATTCAATCTAGGGCGGAATGAAGAGGATTCAGATCAGATTGATTTATCTGGGTTTTCTGGGAATTTACGTCGGGATGACCGTGATAACAGCCGTGACTGCTGGAGAATATCTGATGGGAACAATTTCAGAGTTCGAAGCAAGAATTTTGTATATGATAAAAGCAAGGTTTTGATTGATTATCTTGCTAATACTGCTGTAGAATCATTTTGTCTGTTTTCTAGGCCCTATTGTTTATGATATTTATTCTTCTTGATAGGTTCCTGCAGGAAAGCCTCTTATGGAGCTTGTCGCTGTTGACTGGTTTAAAGACGCAAAGCGAATGGACCATGTTGCTAGAAGAAAAGGCTGTGCAGTTCAAGTGAGTTCATGTTTGAATCCTGATATCATTAACTAGTCATGGGAGAAAGGAAATGAATAGCACCCTCTTCTAATTTTTGTAACACGGAGAAGCAAACCACCCTCTGTTTTTGAGCCTGAACTGTTCTTGCCACTGCTTGTGGAAGTCCTTGATAGACTCATAAAACGATGCTTGGATATAATAGTCATATTTTGCTGAGAGCCAGGGTTGTACTTGTATATGGAGTTAGCGTAGCATCATGTGTTGCACCAAGAGCCATGTTTTATTCTTTCTTATTACATTTAGCTTTTCTGTGTATATATTTAAGAATCCTTGCTTAGCATTTTTTTACCTTTTGTGTTTAACCATGAATGTGCTTGATGTGGTGAAGCTCAGTTCCTGCTAAGTTATTACTTTTTCCCCATTTGATAATATTTTGCTTTGGTTCTAGGTAGCGGCTGAGAAGGGGCTGTTTGCATTGGCTATAAATCTACAAGTAAGTATTTCCATGGACATTCCAGTACAAAATGTGTCAAAGCCATATCACTGTTTGCTCCTTATCTTCCTTTATATACATAGTTTTATTGTAATCTCTTGTGCGCACAATACTGTCCACTAGTGTTGAAAGGATGACCCTCTAATTACGGCATTATGCTACTCATTTCTATTTTTTTTTACAAGTGTTTTTTTTTTTGGGCTTAAGCGTTTCTACCCCTCTTTTGAAGCCAAATGGTGATTTTGCCCTCGTTTTTTTAACTTTGTGATTTTACCCCTACGATTTCAAAACGAAGGGAGACTTTACCCCTGGTCTGTGAAGTTTCTCTAACGGTGTTAACTTTTGGACAAATAGACAACTTCCATACGTTTTTACCCCTGTTTTATTTTAATATTTGTGTTTTTACCCTTATTTTTCAGATCAGCAATTTGGCAATTTTGATACAGAATTATACAATTGAATCAGTGCAAAACTCAACAATTTTTAGAAAAATTCGACAGTATTTCAGCTAACAACCCGTATAAACATATCTCATCTATCACGTTCGGGTTCGGGCCGAATTACCCGATCACAGCTCGAGAAATCAGCTCGCACATATATTCTTTTATCACAGCTTGAGAAACACACATCCAAATAAATCTTGTCCGACCAATATATATAAACAAATCCAAATGAAACTTGCCTTCTTCTAAATTATAATTGCATGGTCACACAGAACAAGAATTACAATTAGATGGTACAAGTAGATATTTTAGTTCGACCAACGCGCGTGACCTCATGGATCTGTAGAAGGAATAAAGAAAGAGAAAGAAAGGAAATGAATTTGGAATGGGGATTGGATCTTACAGTGGACAGCATACGCATAGGAGCTGCCGAGCTCCAGTGCGGCGGTGTAGGACAGCCTAAGCCACAACTACCTCCTCGGATGCTGCCGCCATGCCGCTGTCCTCGTCTCCCGCACGCTCGCCCTTGAGGATCTGGATTGAGATGAGGAGTGGAAGAGAGGGATGAGGCTGCGTGGGGGATGGAGGGTGAGAACCTGAAGGCCGCGCGACGCTCTAGCCGCCGCGGGCGCAAGCCCGGGGCGGGGCGGAGCGGGTGGAGGGAGGACGAGGCCGCCGGGAATGCGAAACCCTAACACGCGACTCGCTAGCGTTCGGGAACGGTACGACTGTGAGCGAGTGAGAAAGGAAAAGGGAAGGGAAGTTTCTGAGGGGTATCATTGTCTTTTCGTGTAGGTGCCTTTTCTTTTTTCTTTTTTTTTTGCCATTTTATCCAACCATTTCAAACGCTGTTACAAAGTAGGGGTAAACGGGAGCTTCGTTTGAAAAAGACAAGGGTAAAATCACAAAGTTAAAAAAGGAGGGGCAAAATGACCATTGGATTATGGAATAGGGGTAGAAACACCAAATTCCCTTTTTTTTTTGGTAAGGCTACCCATTTCTAGTTGTTGATCTTGATAGATGTGTCTTGTAACAATACTATCATTGTCCACTGTTGTTGTGACTTGTGAACCAGCAATAATGATGCAAGTATGATTGCTTTTGCAGGTTCCTGGCACAACAAACTATAGTATGGTTTTCTACTTTGTTACGAAGAAACTGATACCAAACTCCTTATTGCAACGCTTTGTTGATGGTGATGACGAATATCGGAATAGTAGGTTCAAGTTGATACCATCAGTTCCTAAGGTGAAGTTCTCTCTATCCCCACCATTCTTTAGAAATCCTGTGAGGTCCATGTGAAAAGTGTAGAAGTAAGAAGGGCAAAAGAAAGGATACGATGAATCTTTTTTCTCGAAAATGCAGGAGAGCTGCGCTTCATTATAAGTTGCTGGTGAATTCAATCAAATCCTTTTGTCTGATGTAATTCACCTTTGAATTTCAGGGCTCATGGATTGTCCGCCAAAGTGTTGGCAGCACTCCTTGTCTATTAGGAAAAGCTGTTGACATTACCTATATACGTGGCTCAAATTATTTAGAAGTAAGACTGCGAGAAACCTTCTCTGTCTACCTTTTGGCTAAGAAATAGTATGTGGAGGCTTGGACTGACTTGACACATATTTTTATGTTGCATTATGGTGATGTAACTGTGCAGATAGATGTGGATATTGGCTCGTCTACCGTGGCGAATGGAGTCTTGGGGCTTGTGTGTGGTGTGATAACAACACTAGTTGTCGACATGGCTTTCCTTGTCCAGGTAAGCCTCATTTACTCAGAATCACATGTTTGTTCAGGAAAAAAATCATAAACCGCTGAAGTGTTTGCCTTAATATTGTCGGCAGGCTAATACATACGAGGAGCTCCCAGAAAGGCTGATTGGGGCAGTTCGCATGTCGCATATTGAACTGTCATCGGCAATAGTTCCCGTGCTCGAGGATTAACCCTAATAGGCAATACTGCATGCATTGGGCTGGCAGGATGAGGCCGCTCTGCTTGGATCACTGACAGTGTACACAATGTAGTAGGAAACATAGTTCTCGACTTCTCGTGCCATCTTCCTGAAGACCTTTCTATGCGATCATGCATGTATTGCGTATTTTGATGCGAGCTATGTAGGTTTTACAAAGGGTTGTGTCGGGGAAAAGAAAGAAGAGATTAGAAGAGTTAGGAATAGAGGCAGGAGAGACCCAAGCTGAGGTTTGAATAAATGGTCCATGGTTAACTTGAGAGACCACACCATTCTTCATTGATACTATTTCCCTTGTTTCTAATGCTTGATGCTTGCGCCAGCCATATCCCATATATGTATTTATGTATATGTATGTATACTAAGGTTAGTTGGTGCCGTGTTCCTCGAATGTTTTCCTGTTCCTGGAATAATCCTAAGCGTATGTTTCCTGGAATAATCCCTAAGCATCCGTTCACCATGTATGTACACTCGAGGAAAAAGTCATTTTTTCTCCCAAAACTATCGTTGTTGTCTATTTTTTCCCTAGGATTGGAGAACCTTTTTCCTCAACTTTTATAACTGTATAAGTTATCTCACCGTCTCTGCCATAAGTGGATTTTAGGTGGGTTTATCATTTTTTAATTTAAAAACTAGGTAAACATTTGATCAAATTTGTAGACAAAAATAATACTAATGAAATTATAAAAGTTCTAAGAAAAAATTCTAGAGATAGATTAGGACATGACAAACACAAACAAAATATTTGGAGCTTGTGAACATAAAAAAGCTTCAAGAAATTAGCGTCAACTATAGAAAATTGGGAAAGATATCTAGAAAATTTCTAAATCTCTATCTCTATACCTAAAAACAGCGTAATATCGTCATTTACCCGGTGATATCAAATCTTAATCCCTGCTCATGTATTCGCATCCGATACCAATCATCCTCTAGAGCTCACACGTCCTCGTCCTATCTGGTTCCAACACGCGTCCGTGTTTGATATGAAGTCCTTAGAGTTCACGCGTTTGCGTCCGATTGCTAAGGTTTAATCTAAAAAGTTTGCGTCCGATTGCTAAGGTTTAATCTAAAAAACATGGTCCCGATACAACGCACAGGCATATATATAATATTCTAATAAATGTCTAAACATGTTCTAAAACTTTTTACAACAAAAACATGAGATGCAACTAGTATGCATGCATTCACCATGACTGCATTCGACATTAATGCATACTGCATTCATGTTGGCTGCATCTCATATTTTTGTTAAGGAGTTTTTTTTTAATATGTTTAGACATTTATTAGAATGTGTTAGGATTTTTAGAGTTTTTCTAGATATTTTTCTATTTTTCTAGAGCAAAATCTAATTTATCAATGTCTCTAGATATAGTTTTATGATATTCTAAATATTTCATTTAGATTTCACTTGTCCCAATCTATTTTTAGTATTTTCTTAAATTTTTTAGGAGCTCAGAGATCCTTTTCATGATTTAAATTGGATTATTAAGTGTTTATTGGAATCTTTTAACTAAAGTTAAATAAAACCACCCTGAAACCCACTTCTAACTAGAGTGAAGACATAACTTAAATGGCTCTGAGAATTAAAGGAGACAATTTGATCAATTTAGAGATCAAGGAGGAAACTTAAACTTCAACTTTCATGCTAAATGACTTTTTTCCTACTAAAAGTCAATTTTGCCTCTCATTTTTCTCCTCAAACTCTATAACTAGGCATCTTAATCATGAATTCTCAAAACTGATCAAATAACCTCCTTATCTAAGCTTGATATGGTTCTGAAGATGGTTTTGTATTTTTTAGTTAAAACATTTGGTAAATACTTAACAAGATTTTTAAACCATAAAAACACCTCAAAGCTTCTTAAAATTTCAAGAAAACTGTAGAGATAGATTTTGAAAGTGCATCTAGCCCTTTAGTGGGTTTTGGATGATTGAATGACAAAGTGATTAAAGGACTAACCCGTTTGCTAAGTGTGGACAAGTAATAGGTTATCTCACATGTACTTAATGAAAGCTAAAATGATGTGCTGTTATATAAACAATCTAGTTCAAGCACAAGACAATAATGTAAATGGAATTCATGCAAATGCTTATTTATTGTGAGATTTCCATGTACTATTAAGAGGGATGTATCATGTTGATAGATAATTATTCATAAGTGCTCATACCAACCTATGTGAGTTTTGAGTGTTTGAGAGACAAAAAAGCTAACTTGTTGTTGTTGATCTGGCAATACCGGATGTGTCCAGTATTTGTACCGGACGTGTCCGGTATGAGTCTAGCCATGGTAAAATTCTTGATGTTCTCGGGTTGGTTCGTCAGGAATTCCGACGTGAGTCGGGAGTTCCGACGGTCGGGAGTTCCGGCAATCGTCGGGAGTTCCGACGTCTCGCACTTAACTGACTTGGAGAGTTAACTGTCTTGTCATACCGGACGTGTCTAGTATAATAGGCCAGAGTCCAACGGCTATTTTTTAAATGAGCTGAGGGTCGGGAGTTCCGGCATTCGTCGGGAGTTCCGACACCTCACATACTTTAACTCAGTTACCGTTGTTTTCAAATGTGCTGAGGGTTGAGAGTTCCAACGTGAGTCGGAAGTTTCGACGGTTGGGAGTTCCAGCATTCATTGGGAGTTCTAACGCCTCACAACGACACTATAACTCAATTACCGTTGGCGCAGTGCAAGTCATACCGGACGTGTCCGGTATTGCAACGGCTATAAAACGGCTAGTTTTTCAAAGGGGCTATAAATACCCCCCAAGCCTCCACATTTGGAGGCTGCTGATTTTGCTGATCCTCTAGCACGTTTTTGAGCTTTGCCAACTCTTCCAAACCCTCTCTTAGTGAGTGTGTGATCCAAATTGCCAAATTAATTAGTGGGTTGAGAGAAATTCAAAATTGAGAGCAAGCCACCACTTGAGCACTTGTGCATATTGTCAATCTCGTGATTCATATTTGTTACTTTTGGACTCTTCGGTCCTAGATGGTTAGGCGTCGTCGGAGAGCACCCGAGAGATTGTGGTGTGCCTCGGAAAGTTTGTAACCGTCGATTTCACTGTCTTGGAATCAACTAGTGCAAGGAGGAAAAGGAGTTGAAAAAGACTCCGGCTAGAGTGACCTTCATGGTACCCTCTAGGACTGACCTTAGCTGGGTCGCCCGCAGTCCCCTCAACGGAGAGTAGGACTCGAACGAGTCCGAACTTTGGTAAAATAAATATCATGTCTCAATTCACATTTTATTTGATAATTGTGTTGATCCAACTCTTGTGTAGGTTCTCTGTGTATATTGTCATCTCTAGTAGGTACCTGCAGTTTGGTTTGAAGATAGAAATCGAAAGGAGCAAGTTTGGGGCTGCTCTGCAGAAACCGTGTATACCGAACACGTCCGGTATACCTACCGAACACGTCTGGTATTTCCTGCCTGTGCTGAATATATCCATTCTATGTTCTAACTTTATGTTGCGGGGTTGTAGCTTCTAGATATATTCTTTATACCTTGTATACTCTATGGCTAACTTGTGAGGGGTGGTATTACTCTTAATTTGGAGTTTCCATTTTGGAAACTCCCTTTACTAATCGTTTTCGCATTTAAAGGTGTTAATTTTTAGAAACGCCTATTCACCCCCCTCTAGGCGGCATCCTAGATCCTTTCAATTGGTATCAGAGCAAGGTTCTCACTTAAAGCTTCACCGCCGTGAGAAAAGGATGTCAACGCCTATCGAGTTAGAGCCGATGTTTCTCCAAAATGATGGTTCAAACTTTCTATCTTGGTCAATTCATGTACTCAATGCTTTTAGGAATATTAGTCCTCTCTGTTGAGTATATTGTGGTTGCAAGCATACCTCTTCCTATAGTTGATTGGAGCAACTACAAAAACTTGTCAAAAGAGGAAGAGATATGTGTGCAACTCAATGCTCAAGCTATTAATGTTATTTTGAGTACATTGAGTGCAGAGGTTCAAGATGAGGCAATCTTCAATGGACAACCACCTTCGGAGAGTGCTTATCTCATTTAGACTAGGCTTGTTGAGTTATATGGAAAATCCAAATGTAATGATGCACTTGAGATCGAGTCAATGGAAAATCTATCCATTGTGTCTTCATGCAGCGAAGAAGCTTCACAAGACCTCAAGAGCGTCGAGCCGGAGCAAGAAGTGTAAGCAACACATGACCTGCTGTCTGCCTACACATACCAGACGTGTCCGGTATCTATACCGGACGTGTCTGGTATGGCCGAGATAGCAGACCAACAAGCAACTGTTTGTAAGGATGCTCAAGACCGGTGGCGACCAAGTGATGAGTCAACCTCAGTATCTCATGATTCTCATCACTTGTGTCTCATGGCCAAAAAAAGCAAGAAGAAGAGTAACAAGAAAGATCAAGAAAAGGAGAAAGCACAAGTAGATGATCAAGATAAGAGTGATGTTGAAGTTGAGGACAACTTCAACCTTGATCATCTCAACTGCAAAGACAAGTTCATCTTCATGAAGATAGTTGAAAAGAATGATGAGCTAGAGGAAGAAATTGAGAAGCAAGAGCAATCACTTCAAAAGCAAGAATTGTTTCTCATCTCTAAGATAGAAGAACTAAAGGCTCTAAGTGAAGGTATGAAAAATTGTCAATTGAGCATGCTTTAGTTACTAACTCCTCTTTTAGTGTTACACAACTAGAGAAGGAAAACTTTGAGCTCAAGGCAAGGCTAGATGAACTATCAAGCAAATATAATGTGCTACAAGCAAACTATGTTCATCTAAAGTGCTCTCATGATGAAGTATTAGAATCAAGCATCATGCTTGAGGTGGCTCATGAGGTTGTGATCACATTGGTAAAAGTTTCTCAACCTCTCACATATTCACTCACTAGTACACCATCTCAATTAAATATTTCTTGTACTAATGAGTGTGCTCCTCAAGCAAGCCAATCTTCGATTGAGCTAAATCTCATAGAAAACATAGAGCTCAAAGACGAGGTGGAAA